ATTATACAAGTTTATTGGATATTCAATAAATGTAATTTCTCTAATATTTTTTTTATTATTTATAATATTTGTCTATTATAATAACGTGAAGAAATATGGATATCGAATATTTGAACAAATTATTCTTATTCATATATTTTATTGCTTTTTCGATTAATATGAAATACATATATATACCCAGTTTATTGTATAATATATATAGGATTAAAGTTATAAATGTTATAATTAATGATTATTTAAAAACATGTTATAAAGTTACATTTGAAAATAAATGAATTAATATAATAATGCAATTGATATTATAATGTCTTTTTTATTTATTATTATAGATAAATATAATAGATATTAGATATTAGATAATAAATATAAATAGATATTCATTTATCTTTTTAAACATGTTAAATTAATCATTATAAAATTCAATTGAAAGAATTAAATAGAAATAAATGAAGAATTATCATTATCAAATTATGAATTATTACATGTATCGCCTATCACTTTCATATATTATGAAAATAACAGAAAATATATTAACTAATAAATTAATTCGATATATTTTAAATCTGCTAATTTTTTCAATTTAACTTTTTATATTATTACTTTTTATATATTATTATTATTATTATTATTTTACATATTATTACATTTTAACTTTTTTTTATCATTATTTAGAATATATTTGGATATTCATAGTATAATAATTATTTAATATCGTTTTGTTTGGGAAAGTCCCCAGAATCATTTCGCGTTGAAAGCAATTAAATGACTGCTATATAAACACAAAACACTTCTAAAAACTTTGAAAAATTATAATTTTTTTTAAAAGTTGATTCTTGCAAAAACAGTGGAAAAACCGGTTTGTAGATTTACATTCATTAAAACGCGTATAAGAAATATATAAGAAACGCGTATCGAATATTATAAAATCAAATATATGTCGACCAAATATAAGATATTTTTAAAAAATTTTTTCACTTTTTTACTGAATGAAAAAGTCGAACAATTTCAAATTCTAATTTGATTAATTTTAACTTAACTCTATATGATACAATATTTTGTATAATGAGTTATATACTTCCATTCAGAAATTTTAAGACAATTATTATATTTACTTTAAAATTAAAAAAAAATTAAATAATTAAGTTATATTTTACATAATAAAGAAAAATATAAGAGAAATTAATTATTTCATTTAAGAAAAGTATACAATTTAATATATCGAAGTTTTATTAAAAGTATAGCTGTTTTAAATTTTTTAACATGTAATATACGGTGTTATTTAAAAAATTAAAATATTTATATTTTTTTTTTTAATCGTTCGTTCAAAAAAATTTTTTTTTATCTATTTTATTATTTTAATTAATTGACATATCCTTTAAAAGAATCATGATATGTTTTCATACATATCAAAAATCTGATTTAAAATGATTAATGATTTATTCCACCTTGATACTTCATATGTATATTACTCATTATAATAAGTGTCTTATTGATATATTTCTTCAAACATAAATATAAATTAAATATTTTCGATTATCGTTACATTACAGATAATTTATTATTGATTTATACTTATTATTGAATTTGTTTCGCAGTAATATAACAGTTCTTATGTTCTGTAAGAAATTAGCATATCATCTTAATATATTACTGGTAGCTTTTCAGTATAACGAAACATACAACGTAAATATGTGTAAATAAGGCAATATAAAAGGCTTATTGATGTTTTATTGCCAAAACAAGAATAATATATTCAAATTGTTATTATCATTGTTAGTGGATTAATAATCACATTAGTATACACATATCATTTATTATTATTTTTTTTTAGCTCAGCAACAGAATGAAAAATAATTGAAACAATAAATTAAATTCGTGACAACGCGCGTTTCGTAAATTAAAATTTTTTTTTTTTAATAATTCATTATCAGTCTTTATTATAATAATAATCATAATAATTATCATTTTAATCACACATAATTTCCAATAAAAAAAGATGTAATAATAACTTCTCACTTAATAAAATTATTTTGTATTTATTTTATATTTATTCAATAAAATATTCATCCAAACATCAAAGATAAAATAGTCGTAAATTTTGCATAAATTATTTATCGAATCACGAATAGATTTACTGTTCGATTTCAAAGTTTTTTAAACGATTGCCGCATCGGTTAATTTATGTCAAAAATATGTTAATGCGACATTCTACCGAGATGCGTGTCATTTTACACGAGTCTCGCAATATATCTAACAGGGAATTCCTTGGACCTATTTATTTGATAGAAACACTTTGATTTTACTAGTGTATACTTAAGATTAAACATAATTACGGGTAAAAGAAAGTTATAACGGGACAATCATTTTCTTTCGACCTTGTTCGTATTAATTTTCATCGTCTCGTTAATCGGATTTCTTTCAAGATTTTGATTACACGTTTGATATTCACGTAATAGAGTTTCTTTATAATGACTTTCGTAAAAGTCAATCTTCCATCTCTTACATCATTGTATTTAAGTATAAGTGTATGTATAAGCTTATTATATTTCTGATAATTGTATTTAAATTATTGTATTTAAATTGTATTAAATTATATTTAAATTATCATAATTAATCTTAAAAAAAAATATTAAATCATTTTTTTTTTTACGTAATTAATGTAAATAATGTTACGAGAATAATCGTTTATGATAAATTAACACGTCATTAATAAAAAAAAATGAGGAAAATATCACATAAGAAATGTAATTATAGCTAATTAAAATTACGTTAATTTATTATACGAGTATATTATACTTTTCTTTTAAATGCGTACTTATATTCAATGTATTGAGTTATTGTATTCAATATTTACTTACTTTTGAATCGTTGCAATGGATTTGCGAATTTCATGATTGTAACCCAGTTTTCATGCACTTATTTCTTTACTTTTCTTTTTTTCCTCACCTTGATTGTACCTTTATTCTGAAACAGTATATATTCTGAAATGTTTTTATATAATTTGAAGAACAAACTCTTCATAGGGTAACGTTTTTTTTTCTATACCAAGAAGATAATTACTTTCGTCATCTTAATACTGATACAATATGAAAAATATATAAAATTTTAATATAAAATTTATATTTATTGAAGAAAGTTAAATTAAAAATAGTTTTTATCTTTTCTTATTTGAAGTATTTACATTACATTACTTTTTGAGAACATGCTTATTTTTTTTTGAACTAGTATTATATTAGAAAAGATTTTCAAGATAGATCTAAAATAGATTGAAGAACATTCACGGTAAAAATTTATATATACATTTCAAATAAGTTTGCATTTCCAAAAATACAGGATGTTTGAAAAAAGATGTTCAAATATATAAATAATTTATTAGCTATTAGATTAACATAATACTCGAAAGACGACAGTTTTCATTTCATTTTTAAGAAAAATATACATACTTTAAATTTGAAACGGTACTTCATAAAGTTTACTTAAATTATTTGCATTCTTATTGTGTGTCTATATAGCTATGACTAAATATATAACTTTTCAGTTAAAATTTTTGACATCTTTCTGAAATTGTATTATTAATAATTTTATTATATACTTAACAACATCTTTTATTAATATTGTTATGATTCAAAGATTACATTTGCATAGCGCTAATGTATCTTTGTCATCGATGTGTATCGAGAATTTGCAATGTTAATTGAATGGTATTGCAGCAATAATGCTAATTGAAAAAAATAACGAGTGTTTTCCAATGAACCTGCGTGACATATCATAAAATTATTATCAATAATTAGAAATTAATTGGTATTTAATATAGTTTTTTCTATTATATCTGAATAAAATGTTTGATTTAAATATCTTTGATTAGAAAAAACCGGTTTATTCATCATTATTTATTTTTTTATGGTTTTTTTTTTCTTTTAAAAATCTGATAAATTTTATATCATTATATCATAACAAAGTTTCGTATCTTTCCTTTAAATACGATAGAATTAATTAAAAGGTCACTGAATATAATTTAAATTTTAATCTTTTTTTTTCTTTCATCATTTTTTTTTCATTTTATTCAGATAATTATTAATTTTATATTTTTAATCCTATATATACATGTGTTTGTGTGTATACGTTTTTAATATACAAGAAATATTAAGATTAGATTCTGAATCATAAATTTCTTTTCTTAGCAAATTTTTTTTAAACAATAATATTTCAATGATTTAACATATATGTGTTTGTTAATAAATAAATTATTAAAAAAAAGATATAAATTATTTAAAGTTATTTAAAATTAATTATATAAAACGAAGATATATTATATAATCTATTTTAAAAACTTATTTTTTTTTAATATATATTTCATTTTTTTGTTATTCGTAATAAAAATTTGTTTGATTTTTCAAGATCAAAATAAAATAAATTCTTTAAAAAAAAGAATATATATATATATATATATATATATATATATATTATAATATATATATAATATT